AAAAATGGGGATTAGGTGTGGAGCCCACTCTACATCAAACTTTAACGATCCGAATCGTATATTTATAAGTCTCGATTCATACATCCTTGCAAAAATTCAATTCAATCCAAAACCATTTGCATATTTAATTATCAAGATAAAATTTCATTGTTTCTTATATAACAAAGTATTCGTTAATTTTTTTGAACTCAATTAGATGTTTTAAACATTTCCGATTTGGCTAATATTTTGCAAGGATGATCTATGAGGTGCAACTTGAAAAATAAACAGTTTGGATCGTTAAAATTTGATGTGGTGTGAACCCTACAACTAATCTACATTTTTATAAAAAAACAAATAAGGATCCCTTCCCTTAAAGGTTTCCTATATATATATATATATATATATTCTTCTGCTCTTGCATTTTGTTGAAATTATATATATTTTTCCTTTCATCCAACTGAAACTAATTAAAAACGAGAAGGTTTTCTTCAAATTAACTGACATTAATTAAATGTATAATTGTCAAACAAATTATTTTTATATCTTGTAACAAATTTGGTGCAGCAATGAAGATATGCCCAAGGTACTGGTGACAGAATGCAGAACCAAGGCCTTGAAGATTGCAGCTGCTGCCAAGGGTACGCGCCTTCGTATTATCATTCAAAATTTATTTACCTTTTCATTTTAATTAAATAGTTGGCAATGTAAATATTAGAGTATCAAAATTAATGAAAGCAATTGTTACAAAAGTGGTGACAGAAGGAGCAACACAGATCCTCGGAGGTGATCGTGTTGGTTCATAAGCATGGTAGCTGATCACTGAAGCAATGCAGCTGCAACATGGAAGAAGAAGTTGAAGATCGAATTGTTCTAAGTGTAGCTTTAGAGGTTGAAATTTAAATCCTTGTAATGAACGCTCAAGATTATGTCTCTATGGTGTATATCTTGCCACATGTCTAGTTTGTTAGAAAGTTAATGAAAACATGTGTTGAGTACGTGATCATAGTCATGCTGCTAGTGTGGGTGTGCATCGGCTATAATCCCCACTTTGTAGCCAATTTTGGTGGATGGAATCCAACGTAGATTTGAGGAGCTATGAAAATCCATTCTTTCCTGAATTTCACCTGCTATACATCATCTTCAATCTCATTTCAATTACTTGTTGATTTGATAACAATTGCACTGAGAAATTTAGTCTAAAACTAGCCTAAACACTAACAGATCGGGGATGATGTAGACTTCGTTTTGCTGACGAGGTCATTGAGGAAGAAGCTCGGCTGTTCTCCTGCACTATAGTCGAAGTTGAAAAAGTGAAGCCGGCAGTTAAAACTGAGGGAAAAGCCACTCCTTCAGTTCCTTCGGCAAGCTGTGTTCAATATTGTTGCACTCCCCAGTTTCGTCCAGTGTACTGTGAATTGGTTCATGAATATCCAGAACCAACCACTTGCTCCATAATGTAATTGCCTATGACATGAATTAGTTGAACTTGATTATGACCATTTTCTCTTTTCCCTACATGTATTGTAGATGGATCTGAAGTTCACAAGAAATATTTTTTAAATCAATTGCTTTTCTCTCTGAAAAATTCCATCCCTACCAAAAAGTGTACCTCGCTTAATAATACGAAGCATAAGTCTTAATATGTGTGTGAGAGAATTCGGGTGAAAAATTGAGTTAGGTTTGGATTGACATAAACCGACAAGACATCAACCCAACTCAACCCAATAAATGATAGGATTGAGGTCGGGTTGGGTGTGGATGGATTTTTATAAATTTCATTCTAACCTGCCCCATCGGATTTGAATTTGAATCGGAGATGATAAACTTATATGTAGATGACTAAATAATCTCCAATTTGAATGATTTTACTTTGGTTCAATCTCTTAATCTTTATTTGAACACTATACCTACAAAAAATCATTCAAATTGGAGATTATTTAATCATTTAAATGTATCAAATAAATCAACGGGTATCAAGTATCGTATTCATGATGAGCTATTGATTTATTAATTTGATATTCTTGGATGGCTAAATGATCTCTGACTCAAATGATTTTGTAGGAATCACTACTACAAAAAACAAATATTTAGAGATCAAGTAACGGGACAAAACTTTTCGACAGTTATAAACGAAAAATCACGATTTAACGGTTATTTAACTCTGATTTTGATGATTTTTTTTTACAGCTACACTCCTTGACCCTATATGAATACAATGAATGAATTCGATTTTCAATTTAAAATATTTACACTAGTGGACACCACAAAATCTTATGTTATACTTAATGAAAGTATACATAAACTCTAAGTGTTAGTGAATCTATTGTTTTGATGGGATACGCATTCTACGAAACTAGTTTCAACGATCCAACTGTCAAACTTGTTTATATCTAGTTCGAGATTATATACGCCAAAAATTGCAAAAAACAAATATTCAGAGATCAAGGAATGAGACAAAATTTTTCGACGGTTATAAACAAAAAAATCATCATTTAATGGTTATTTCGACTCCGATTTTGATGATTTTGTACGGCTACACTCCTTGACCCTATATGAATATAATAAAATAATTCGATCGTCAATTTAAAATACATTTTTCTAACAAAAATTTGATCCAAACTACAATAATATATTTTTTCTAACAAAACCCCAATCTGAACTACAATAATAAATTTAAAGCTACTTAATAAATATATATACCATTCAAATTCTTAAGCGTTATATGTACGAAATAAAAAACGAAAATAAATTAGTTTAGGGGATGAAATATTTGAATTATGTCGCACAAAGATTTATTTTATTTTATTTATTTTTGTAAAGACTTTGCATGACGAAGTTTAAAGTTTCGTTGTGCAAAGTACGATGTGTTTTTCGTCGTGCAAGACTTTGCACAACGAAGTTTATAATTTCGTCGCGCAAAGTCACTTTACGCGACGATGTTGTTTTGTCGCGCAAAATTTCGTCGCACATAGTAACTTTGCACGACAATGTGTTTTTCGTCGTGCAAGACTTTGCGCGACGAAGTTTATAATTTCGTCGCGCAAAGTGACTTTGGGTAACGATGTGTGTTTCATCATGCTAGGGTTTTTTTTTACTAGTGAATGATCCCAAATTAAGATTAAGATATTGAATGTTTACGATTATGATCCTAATGTGTTGAGAATGAATTTCACATTGATGTGAGAATGGACCTTGTATAGGCTTATAACTAAGGTTGGTACTCTCCATATTACCAATATGTTTTATGGTGGAACATCAACTTTTTTATGGTATCATAGCAGGTTGTTCCACATGTTCAGTTCAACCAAACAAACACACGCACGCCACATCACCCCGTTATGGTGTCCACGTGTTAGGCTTGAAAGATACATGTGAGGGGGCGTGTAGAGAATGATGATGTGAGGAGATACCTTGCATGAGCTTATAAATAAGTTGTGTTATTCTTCATATTATCAATTGATTTTATGGTGGAACCTCAATTTTTTCCTATGCATGATATTTTAAGTTAGCCATTTTTGAAAATGGGTAATAAAAGACAGAGCACATGGCAATTATATAATTGTGATTTGGAGTCCCTTAGACTGCCCAAGCTACCAATTATATAAGGAACTGTCCCTACTTTCACAATGCTAAACCCTATTTAGTGCCATGTTAGTTGATTATGATGGTTTGGCCGTCAAGAAAGAATTCATTCAAAATTCACAATACTAAGCCCTATTTAGTGCCATGTTAGTTGATTATGGTGGTTTGGCCGTCAAGAAAGAATTCATTCAAAATTTGTGATAGTACCATATATATTAATTTACCTAAAAACAGAAGACTGAGACTTTGTATGCCTTCTATCACATTTGTATTCACAAGATATATAACAAAGACTGCAGGTTGGAAGTATTAACCATAAGAATGCCAAGTGGCATAATCTTTGCTATGACATGTGTAATGATCCTAGAGTGTTGGTTTTAGTTAGTTACAAGTTTACTTACTAACTAAGTATCCTAGTTACTATATATAGTGAGCTAAGTCATTTTCCAACGTAATGAAAAACTGTTATTGCTGTAATATCAAAGTCTTCTTTCTCTCTTCAGTGACTTTTCGCATTCCTTCTCTTTCTTCATCTCTGTGTGTTAAGATGGTATCGAGCCCAGGTTTCGTCAAATTTTCTGGGAACGACGTTGTGTGGCAAGGGTTCTGAGGAGTTTAGTGAGATTGATTCCTGCAATTCTTGGAGTCGATCGGAAAGGTGCGATTGGGAATATGAAGGTTGATGTGACTAGTCAGAAAATTGCGATGGGAGATCTGAGGAGTTGTGTGAGTTGTCTTGGCTTACGAAGTCGATCGATTTCTACGATTGATCGGAAAAGTTGCTGCAGAAAATCAGTGAGATAATGGGAGGTTCTACACTCAAGATTGGGGGCCTATTAGGGATGCTTACAATTCGTTTACAAGAGGACAACTTTGCAAAATAGTCATTTCAATTTCAATCCGTGTTGGAAGGTTATGATTTGTTTGACTACTTTGATGGTACCAATGTTTGCCCTTCGAAGTATGTTGTCTCGTTAGAAAATGGGGTTACAACAGAGATTACTGCAGCTTATCGTGAATGGATTAAGGCTGATAAAGCATTTCTCAATCTACCGATTGCTGCTTTTGGAGATGAGGCTATTGAATATGTTGTAGGAAGTAAAACTGCTCATGAAGCTTGGACTTAACTCACCGACAGGTATGCTACAATTTCAAGGGCAAGAATCAATCATCTCAAGATTGAATTACATACTACCAAGAAGAGAGCAGATTCTATTGAGAAGTATTTACTCAGGCTTAAGCACTTGAAAGATCAATTACTTCCTGCAGGAGAATCAATTTCAGATAATGATCTTATTGTTGCAGCTCTAGCAGGTTTACCCTCAGAATACAATATAATCAAAACAGTAATTGTAGCAAGAGAGTCAGTAATTACATTGAAAGAGTTTCGTGTACAGTTGTTAAGTGTAGAAAGAACAACTGAAGAATATACCTCATCTCTGCAATTTCCTATGACTGGAATGTTCTCTCAAGGAGAGTCTTCTGCTATGGGTGTATCCAGACAATACTATCAAGGTGACAATTAAAATGAAGGTGGTTCAAATGGTGGTCATTTTTATCAAGGGGAATCCTCTGCAACATGTGCAAGTAGGCCATCTTATCAGGGAGATTATTCTACTGGAGGTGTAGGTTTTGTGAGTCAACTTCCGAGATCAAATGGCACTGGACCAAGTGGTGGACATTTTTCTCAGGGTAATCTGTCTCAACAATTTCAAGCCCGTAGAAACAACAATGGTTTCAATGGCCCTAGGTTCAACTCTAGACCTATGTACAATGGTCATAATTCTGGGAACTTTAACAACCGCAACACTGGTGGTTTTAATGGTTCTTCAGGCAATAACAATGGAGGCTCAACATGGGGAAATTGGAATGACAATAATGGTCAGCGATCACACATCATTCCTAAGTGTCAGATTTGCAACAAAAATGGGCATACTGCACCAAATTGCTATTACAGAAATGAGCAATTACCTACTTCTAATCAAGCGATTCCTGAATGTCAAATATGTGGAAAACGTGGTCACACTGCCTTGAATTGTTTCCACAAGGGCAATGATGCTTTTCAAGGAACTCAACCACCATCATCTCTTAATGCTATGACTGATCAGTCTTCAATGGAGTTCAATAACAATCAGGCTTGGATAATGGACATCATATGATTGGAAATGTTGGCGATTTAAACATGCTGACACCATTTGAAGGAGATCAGAAAATCACAGTGGGAAGTGGTGAATGCCTTCCTATCAAAAACATTAGTTCTTCCTCTATCAAAACATCTTCTAAACCACTTCATCTTTATATTGTGCTACATGTTCTAGATTTAGCTGCTAGTCTTATTTTAGTTTATACTTTATGCAAGGATAATAACTTTTATGTGATTATGGATGAATTTGGATTTTGGGTGCAGGACAAGGCAACAAAGACAATTCTCATGAGAGGAATGAGTAGTGGGGGATTATACCATATACCAAAGTAGCTCTTTTTCAACTATAATCGGCTAATAAAGTCTTCACCAAAGGTATTGCTTGGTCAGCTTGTGAGAGCATCCTTATGGCATTATAGGTTAGGGCATCCTACCAATGAAGTACTCCATAGTCTGTTGTCCAGTTCTCAAATCACATATAAGCCTGATATAAATAAACATGTTTGTAGTCATTGTCTTAGAGGCAAGATGTCTAGACAGGTTTTTTATTCTAGAATTGTGAGGTTTGTACAACCTTTTGAAAGAATAAGTAGCGATGTATAGGGTCCATCTTCAGTTGTATCAATTGAAGGTTACAAGTACTATGTGAGCTTTATTGATGAATGTACAAAATTTTCATGGATATTCCCATTAATATACAAGTCTCAAGTTCTGGACGTGTTTGAGAAGTTTTATGTCTTTATTCAGAATCATTTTCAAGTTATTCCTAAGTTTTTTCAATCAGATGGAGGTGGTGAATATATGAGTCTTGCTTTCAAGAGGTTTCTAGAATCAAAAGGTGTTGTGCATTTGGTTTCCTGTCCATATACTCCCCAGCAAAATGAAACTGCAGAAAGGAAGTATAGACATATTTTAGAAACTGCAGTAACCATGTTATCCACAGCTCAGTTACCACATAATTTTTGGTTCCATGCATGTGCTCATGCGGTTTTTATTATCAACAAAATGCCTTGTAAATCATTAGGATTGCAGTCTCCATTTTTTAAACTATTTAGAGTTCAACCAGTGTTATCTTCTTTAAAAGTATTTGGGACATCCGTTTACCGCTATCTTAGACCATATAATTCATCAAAGTTAGATGCTAAGACAAACCAATGTGTATTTTTGGGATACTTACTAGGATACAAAGGGGTCATTTGTTATCATAGAGCCTTAAAAAAAAATTGTTGATATCCAGACATGTGATTCACGATGAACAAACCTTTCATTTTCATCACAGTGAGATTAAGTTTTAGTCTTCAAAAGATACTAGGAACATATTTGTTACACATCCAATCCTTGTTCCTTATGTTTTTCCTTCTATAAATAGTGACAACAGTTCATCACAATCTGGAACAAGGTCTCAGTCAGTTCATACAATGGATCAAATGAGTTCTCTTGATGCTGTTATGCTAGATTAGTCAGTTCCAGTGGCTTCAAATTCATCACAGGATTGTTCCACATCTCAGAATCAAGAAATGTCTTCTTATACTCAGTAACAGGTTGCTTCCCCTCACACTACTCCCCTTTCTACATCAACTTACAACTTTTTGTTGCATGTCCAGAGTTCAGCCCAATTAAAGGTAATTCATTTCTTCAATCCAAATAATGATTCAAGTTTAAGTCATCCTATGCAAACTAGATTGAAATCTAGTGCTATTCAGAGACAAGATTATAGTGCTTACTTTGCTTATGACTCAATTGCTATTGATTATGATGTTGCTCATAAAGATATATCCATGTCGTTATATGGCTCTTCTAAGTATTACTGAGTCTTCTGAACCCACAGCTTACAAAGCTATTGTTCCTTCGGAAAATTGGAGAAATGCCATGGTTGAAGAGTTCATCGCTTTACAGAAACAAGGAACTTGGGAGTTGGTTCCTCCACTTTCAAATAGAAATGTAATAGGCAGCAAGTGGGTTTATAAGGTGAAAAGAGATCAGTTTGGCAAAATGTCTAGGTATAAAGCTCGTTTAGTGGCTCAAGGGTTCAGTCAAGAACAAGGTTTGGATTATGACAAAACATTTAGTCCTGTTGTGAGACACATCACAGTTAGAATTGTTTTAGCTCTGGCAGCATCAAACAAATGGTCTCTAAGGCAGCTTGATGTGAAGAATGCATTTCTTCACGGTTATTTACAGGAAGATGTACTCATGAAATAACCACAAGGTTTTCAAGACCTTGAGCATCCAAAGTATGTTTGCAAACTGGTGAAGTCTCTATATGGTCTCAAACAGGTTCCTTGGGCTTGGAATTCAAAATTTACAACTTATTTGCCAACTTTGGGATTTCAGGTTTCAAAATCAGATCCAAGTCTGTTCATTAAGGCTCACAATCATGATGTGGTTATACTTTTGCTCTATGTTGATGACATCATTATCACTAGTTCAAGTCCTTCTTTGGTTCAACAAGTTATCACTGATTTGGGCGATGTATTTGATATGAAGAACATGGCTCTACTCATATATTTTCTGGGATTGGAGATCACATATCAAAAGAATGGAGATTTGTTTATTTCCCAACAAAAGTATGTCAAAGATCTGCTCAAGAAGGTAGGTATGGAGTCTTGTAAGCCATGTCCAACCCCCTGCAAACCACATACACAACTTCTTAAGGATGAAGGTATTCCATTATCAGATCCTAAGTTGTTTAGAAGTTTGGTGGGAGCTTTGCAGTATTTGACATTTACACGTCCTGATATTGCATTTGCTGTGAATTATGCATGTCAGTTTATGGCAACACCTATTGATGAACATTTTCATTTAGTTAAAAGGATACTTTGATACTTGCAAGGAACAATGTCATGTGGTCTCACATATTCAAGCACAGATCATATGGGAATCACTGCATTCAGTGATGCAGATTGGGCATCTGACGTTAACACACGGCGGTCAACTACTGGATATGTGGTGTTTTTAGGACAAAATCCCATTTCGTGGATGTCTAAGAAACAAGGGGTGGTCTCCCGTAGCTCAACCGAAGCTGAATATAAAGCACTTGCCAATGCTGTTGTTGATATTGCTTGGGTGAGGCTTATATTGAAAGACTTGAAGGTCTATCTACCTGATCCTCCTCTCTTATATTGTGATAATATATCCACCTTGGCCTTATGTTCAAATCCAGTTTTTCATACTCGGATTAAACATTTGGACACTAACTTTCACTTTGTTCGTGAAAGAGTTCAAAAAGGAGACTTGCAGGTTGAGTATATGTTTACAGAAGACCAGGTTGCTGATCTATTGACGAAGGGATTACATGATCCAGCCTTTCTTCATCACTGTTGCAATCTCAAACTGGGGTTCCCTAGTTGAGATTGAGGTGGGGTATTAACCATAAGAATGCCAAATGGCATAATCTCTGCTATGACATGTGTAATGATCCTAAAGTGTTGGTTTTAGTTAGTTACAAGTTTACTTACTGACTAAGTATCCTAGTTACTATATATAGTGAGCTAAGTCATTTTCCAATGTAATGAAAAACTGTTATTGCTGTAATATCAAAGTCTTCTTTCTCTCTTCTGTGACTTTTCGCATTCCTTCATTTTCTTCATCTCTGTGTGTTAAGAGGAAGAACAAATAAAGGAACGAGGAAAATTTTCAGATTTTGGAAACTGCTTTTTACGATCAATTTGTTTTGATTACTCAAAGACTTTGACTTCGGTTTGCCAATGGGGATGTACAAGATATGATCATCGATAAGAAGATTTTTGTATGTACTTTTATAGAGATATAAATTATTTAAACACATAAAATTAACACATAGGCGTAATATACTTTCTAACATAGGTAGGGCTTAAATTGATGTTTGAAGCCAATCAAAACTAGAGAACATTCGTGTATGGTACTAGGGTGTATTATACTGTACTAATTAATGTTTTTTTGTTAAACCACTTGTTAATATCATATTCTCTTCCATGGTAATACTTACATTCTCCCATATAACGTACTTTACTGTAGAGTTTTCATAATTGGAGTGGTTCAATCCCTTAATCTTTATTTGACAACTATTTCTATAAAATATCATTTAAACTGGAGATCGTTTAATCATTTAAATGTATCAAATAAATCAACAATATAGGCATCAAGTATCATATTCATGATATACCATTGATATATTAATTTGATAACGTTGGATGACTAAATAATTTCTGATTCGAATTATTTTGTAGGGATGGTCTCAAATTAAGATTAAGATATTGAACGTTTTCGATTATGAATTTCTAATGTGAATGAACGTTATTCGCTAGTAGATGAATGAGCTCATCCGCTAAGAAGAAAATGCAAGCATTGTCCAAAAAAAAAAAAAATATATATATATATATATATATATATATATAATACCCCTCTCTTTTAATTTGTATTCCATCTGAAATCTAAGCACGGTTTTGACTCAGTCTGTGGCACTGTTGAAACTCTCTCTCTACCAAATTTGAATCTAAGCACGGTTTTGTCTCAGTTTGATGGCGTTTGTTTGGCCAAGTCGTTGAAGAACAAGCTTGGCTTCACCACCGTAGTCAGTATTGAAGAAGTGAAAAAACCGGAAGAAAAGCTAGCTGAGCCAATTCAGTTGGCGTCAAGCTATATTCACTATTCACAGTATCCAGCTGTGCTGTACCAGTATGATAGATTCTGCAGGTACTAAATTAGGCACTTTTACTTAAAGTTAGTATAAATTACATAAAATTACTACAATTATTGGGTCAGTCATACCTCATCTTTAAAACATTTTAATGTCATACCTCATCTTACGAATTTGTTACAATTTCATACCTTCCGTCAGTTTGTTTGTCAATTCTTCCGTTAAATAGTGACATGACTTGAGACGAGACCCACTCTCTATTAAAAAATTAAATAAATATTAAAAACTAAAAAAAATAAATCATATAACTTTTTTTTTTTTTTTGTGCATGGGGGACTTTCTTCCCCATCTTTATCCACCTCACCTCGTCTTCCCCCAACCCAAAACCAGAACCACCCCAAACCCAAATCCCACCTCGCCAACATCTCCCTCCCCCACCCCCCAACCCTCCTCGGCCACTCATCCTACTCCCTCACTCTTCTCTTCTCTCCCAGAAACAAACAAATTTTGAAACAAAAAAACCTAGAAATTTTTTTTATTGTAGGTGATCGATTCCATCGATTCTCTCCCCACTATTCTCTTCTCTTATGGCCAATTCTGATGTCGCTCCCCCTCCCTCCGACGCCAACGTCGCTCCCCGCCTCTTCTCCCAAAACCCAGAAAAACCCGATCAAACTCGCTCTCCTTCGACCCCATAACCCAAGCATAGCTGCCTCCCGTCCCTTGAACCAAAACCCATAAACCCTTGAGCAAAGCCTGAAGCTTTCTCCGAAACAGGTGATTTTGAAATTTAGGGTTAGGGTTTGGGTCAAATTGGGGTATTTTGTTTGAAATTGGTTACAGGGATTAATTTGGTAAGGGTGATAGGTGGGTAGGAGGAAGGGGAGCGGAAGGAGCACCATGGGAGGGAGGTGGAGATGGAGGAAAAGAGGGTGGCGAGGTTTCTGTTTTGGCGTTGAAGGAAGGTTGGGGGGACAAGGGTGGATGGGGAAGAAAGGGTGAGGGGGATAAAAGGTGGGTCCCCCATGCAAAACAAATATTAAATGATTTTTTTTTTTTTAGTTTTTGATATTTAATTAATTTTTTAATAGAAAGTGGGTCCTGTCTCAAGCCACGTCACTATTTAACAAAAAAATTGACAGACAAACTGACAAAATATATGAAATTATAACAAATTTGTAAGATGAGGTATGACATTGAAATGTTTTAAATATGAGATATGAAACTGTGACTGACCCAATAGTTGAGGTAATTTTATGTAATTTACCAAGTTATTTTCTTCCAGATTCATTGTAGCAAATAGACTACCCAAGTATAAGCACTTTTACCTAAGCATATATATATATATATATATATATATATATATAATTAAATACTTTGAATTTTTTTTATTATATATAAATGAGAATGATGAAGGATCAGGCAAGTCGAACTACAAAAGTAGCCTTATTCTTTAACACGCACAAAACAGTCAGAAAGAATTAAAACCCGGGAATTAGCCTTCAACTACAAAAGTAGACTACTTCATTTACACTCATAGTGATTTGAAATTACTAATTCCAAATAGAAAAACGCATTGCCCCCCATCTCCAAAATTTAATTTAAATAAAAAATAAAGAGATGAAAGCGAGGAGACGAAGTCAAGACCCACAAAATAAGACAAAACTAAAAAAAAAAAAAAAATTGGATGGTTTAATTTGTTTTGTTACATAATCGCATACATGTCAATACAACAAAATTTAGATATCAAGCTCTGTGAAACTAGATAGAAATGTTAAAGACTTTTTATAAGTGAACTCTTTTCTAAAACTCTAAAACACTGAGGGATTGGTTTGGTATAATTCTTTTTTGTTTCGACTGCGAACATGTACAATGATAAAGTCATATTTTCTTATCAATTGGGGAAATCATAGAAGAGCGGTTAGGAAAATTTTGTGCGTCGCTTATCAATATCGGTATTGTTCAATTTTCACAGGCGTCGCCAATTGTTAGTGCAAATATTTCAGTTCCTCCAACAAGCAATCATCCAATTTATGTTTGACACACCAACTTTGCTTGCCACCAATAAGGCAAAATTTGGAGCGTGTGACCTACAAGAAAACAGTGCAACAATCAAGTTTTGTTTATAAAGGTAAAAAGTCTCACATCGCTGAAAAGAGAAATATTGTAAGGGTTTATAATAGATTAGACTACTCCTCATTTGTCAATTAATTTTATGATGGAATCTCATCTTTCTTCATGTTGGGTCTGACCCATATGTGAAGAGTCCCATAATGGCAATTGATGTCTTGTCATTTTCCTCCCTTGTTTGTGAGCTTAGTGGCGTTATGTGAGCATTGAAGTCCAAAGTGGCATTTATCTCTTTATCTCTCCCGCCTTGTTGTATATCCTATTTCTTCCATATATTTGTCCTCTAATTCTAGAAAAAAATTAAAATTGAAAATTAAAGCAAGATAAACGTCAAATAGATGGAGTAGTATTCTCTCCCCTCTTTTTTTTTTCCTCTCATTCTCTCCCCTTCTATTTGAACAGTTATGGTTAAGCCACGTCAACATCTTATATTAATTTTTATAGAAAGATAAAGACAAAATAAAGGGTGTGAAAAAAGGAGAAGGAAAGAGATGAAAAAAGAAAGGGA